TTAAGTTTGAGGTCAGTAGTTTTTCTTAAAGAAATCTATACTTTTGTTCAGCAAGAACATTCAATTGCAAAATGAATCCACTATACAAAAATATAGTATTTTCCATATGTATTTTAAGCAGCAAAGAACTCTTTTCCACACTTAAATGTTTCTTGAGCTGCACGAATGATTTCTGAAGGGAAAGGCTGCTGAAAATTCAGCTTTGCCATCACAGAAATAAAATACATTTTGATTTCTTAAGCCACCCTGTAGGAAGACACATCATGGCCATATTCCAGGATGACAATGTCAAGATTCGTCAGGCACAAATTGTGAAAGAATGGTTGGGATGGAGCATGAAGAATCATTTTGACACATGAATTGGCACCTCTGATTCTAGACCTTGAATTCATCTTTGGGATGTGCTGAAGGAGACTTTACAGAGTGCTTGAAGATCATGACCAAATATGAATGTGCCTCATGATGGAAATGGCATCACAGCTTTTATTTTCATCAGGAGTTGCATAAATGTTTGGTCAAGATCTTGTATTGACAATGCAAGAGTCAAGCACTCTGTAAAGTCTACTTCAGCACATCCCAAAGAAGAATTTAAGGTGTGGACTCAGAGGTGTCAAAATGATTCTTCATGCTCCATCCCAACCATTCTTTCACAATTTGAGCCTGACGAATCTTGACATTGTCATTGACAAACAAAATAATCATTATCCAATCATAGACTCTTGAGTTTGCCTTTTTAAATACAAACAGCGACTTTTTTTGTGGCCGATCGACATATTTTAAAATACAAGACAGACAGTTTAAATTGTAAGAATATTTCACAATATTACTGTTTTTATTGTATTCTTTTATCAAATCATTTCAGCCTCGTTGAGCAAAATTAGACGTTTATAAACATTGCAAAATATTGCTGACTCCAAACTTTCTGAATGAATAAGTACCTCAAACACATTTGCAGATATCTGGTTGCTCTCATCCCCATCCATGACACTGTCAATTGACTGCTGTCTAGATTTTGACTCTGTTTTGGAGATGTGTGTCATTTCTGCACCTTTTTTAGTCATCCTTTTTAGTCATTTCTTATGATTTCAGCCTTTCTAAAAAAAAAAAAAAAGCATTGCCTGGTTGCCTTTCAAACACACAAGCTTCAAACAAAAGAGTATTATATGAAACAGATCATAACATCAGATATAAACAACACAAGATAAAAAAAAAGTTGAAGAGGCTTTTGATGAGGCCCATTCTTACCCATTTGGATTCTCCTCTATATTGGCTTGTATGTGGCTTTTTTGCTATTTGTGAGAGGGTTTTTATAGTGTGGTTAGATGTGTCCTGGTTATCAGATTACACTTTTTCACTAAGCGAGAGAGAGAGGGATAGAGCCTTAACTATTTTTCTGATGCAACCACCCGGCTCCTAATGAGACTTGCGGGCACTTAGAAAAGAGCAAAAATGTAAGCTCATGGAGGCTGAGAATCAAGTTCCACTAGATACATTACATTATTAAGGTTTATGTATGAGATGATATAATTGTGATTCTGTATAATACAAGTTATAATTATATTTTATTTACATCAACCTTCTTTTTTTTTTGGCTAATTCAATAACTGAAGCATTACTTGTGAGATTTGTAAATATCAATCAAGGATTTAGGAGTTAAAGGGTTACATATTAGCATCAGAGTGTTCCGCTTCAGGTCTAAGATAATTTCCTGTTGGGACTGCAGAGGCATAAACCCCCTGATTGTGTTCATGGGCCATTACTGCTCATGACCTCATCAAAAGCATTATTTGTGACCAGTACAACTAAAGCATCCCCAGCTATAAAATATTGCAGTCTCTCCATAAAATATGGTTTTATACATATCAAACATTTCATTTGGAAAAGAACTAACAAATTAAATGATTATTATTTTTTGTTGATGAAGAAGCAAACAGCTCATATCAATTACGAGGATGTGATGTTTAGTAATATGTGGATGTTTGCTTTAATATAGACAGTAATTCATACAATGTTTTTGAATTTTAAACCAATATTGGAGGTGTATAATATCTATAATGATTTCAAGATACATTTTAACACGATAAACATTGCATGTATTTACTTAAGAAACCGTTTTGCGTTTCAAAATTTCCTTCTCAGGATTGCACTTATAGTCCAGTTCAGTTCCTTTACTCAAGTTTTAAAATTATTGTAAAACTTCAATAGCTTTAGTTACTTGACAATTCTCAGTTTTATGATTTAATCTTATCTTTATTAAACATTTGCAGAATGTGATAAGAAATGGAATTGGCTTGTTTTGTTTTTGATCTACTGATCTAAAGGTAAAAGACCTGTGATCCATAAAAAAAAATAAAAATAAATAAACAGACATTTGTCTATTATCATCAACACTTAAGACAATCAATAGGATTTTGAACTTCATCACATTATTTATCACATTTCATTGTCTGAAAAATATCATGAACCGATTCACCGCCATTATTTTTGTGCATTCTTTCTTTTCAATTACATTAAAAAATATTTTCCTTCCAAAAATATATTCATTTGCCAAGCATCCTGATTGAAACAGAAAACACATGCCGTACAGTGTTGAAGGTCCAAGGGACTAACTCAAATCTAAGGGCGATTTTCAAAATAATTTAGGAAGCCTCATCGGAAGACAAACCTCTCAATGGGATATACCACTGCCAGATGCTGTAGCTAGCTGGTATGGCCGACTTTGGGAAATTGGTTTAAAATGGCAGGACCGCTGGAAAGCACAGAGGCTCTAATCATAGCAGGACAAGAACAAGCACTCAGCTCTAAATCAATAGGGCCGATCCTCCTGAGACAATCCAGCACCTAATAGCAGGATGCATGATGCAGACAGGAACAGCGTGCGCTTCTGGCACACCAGGACTTTTACAAGTCCAAAGTCATGACCTGAAGCTACTACCCTGACATAATCATTTAATATATTATTCATATTTAAATTTGAGTATTAACGTTGTCGTTAATTATATATAAAATACATAATGTAATATTTTTATATTAGGGCTGTCAAACGATTAATCGGGATTAATTGGAGAGTTTCTCTCCATAATCTCAGATTTTTCTCTGTGTTGTGAGAGATTTGGGTGAACATTTACCACCTCAGTCGGTTCTATTGTTAAAGGAATCCTATTACGTCAAAATCAACACCCAATACATTGTGGTGTCCTTGCATCTTTCTTATTCCATTGGTGCACCAGTGATGTACAGTTTGAGAGTGCGAGTGACTGAGACTTCTCAGACCAGACAGACGGTGACCATCTGCCTCACGGTTTTGTTCCAATGGCAATAGTGGCACAATGTAGAAAGCTTTAAACTGTTTCCTGTCTAGCTTGGTAGTTTGAGACACAAGAATGACAAGACAAAAAAAAAAAGCAGAGGCCTGCTGTTCTTTTAGAAAGAGGGGACAAAAAAAAACCCAGATGGTCAACAATCTCACTGTAAAAAAGTGTTTTAATAAATTTAACAATGAAATGTTACACAAACACCTAGATACATTATATGAAAAATAGAAGAAACAAAACCATTTATCTAAAATATAATCACACGGGGCTTCTAGAAATATCATTTTGCTCTATTTCATTGTAAATTATAAGGTGTCATTTACAGTACTTTAAGACATAATTTTAACAACAAAAAATACTGTAAAATACTTGTTTTTTTTCTTATATTCGAACTGTACATTATTTGATAATTCATTCTTTTTGACCTCCAAAATCATGTTTATACTGCATTTACAGTAAAATGACATGGTATTTTTTTAAAACCATTTATACATTTTCACCATGGGAACTTGAGAGAAACATTTCACACTTTGATTTATTTAATTTTAACAAAGACTGTCTGCTTCTCTCTGAGCATGACTTCTTAAAAGTTTGAACGTGACCTTCATTTAGCTGGGAGTGTTTGGCTTGCAGGTCTAAAACCAAATCCTCTGTATTTTGAATGAATTTGCATCTGAGGTTGTTCATGAATCATGAACAGGAAGCACAATAAGAAAGGGGGAGAAAGAGACAGTTTCTCTTTTGTCACGGATCCCAAGGGAACTATTGTCCCACTTAGTTAAAGTTGTCAAGTAGAATGCCGACAGGAGTATTGAGTATATTGTAGTGGAGGTAGGGTGAAGGGGTGTGATAAAGTGGACAGAGAGAGAGAGAGAGAGAGAGAGAGAGAGAGAGAGAGAGAGAGAGAGAGAGAGAGAGAGAGAGAGAGAGAGAGAGAGAGAGAAGGATCATATCTCCATCCAGTGGCCAATTGAAATACAGCACTTTGCCCCGATCTGTCTTATTACAACTAATGGCCTGATAGAGGTCTTGTGTTTAAGGTCTTGCATTTGCCTGCATTTCTAGTAATTTAGTCAGAGTGAACAAATAATTATTTTTATCTATCTATCTATCTATCTATCTATCTATCTATCTATCTATCTATCTATCTATCTATCTATCTATCTATCTATCTATCTATCTATCTATCTATCTATCTATCTATCTATCTATCTATCCATCCATCCATCCATCCATCCATATATATATATATATATATATATATATATATATATATATAATCATCTCTTGGGGAAGTCAAGCCAAGACTATAATATTTATAGCATATAGCCTACAATACAGAAATAATGCAAGTTATATATCTAAGACAATAAGTCTCTCACGATCTAAATCTTTTAATCTTTTCAGTTGTGTCATCCCTGCTTAGGTTCTATAACAGAATCTTGAATATCATCTTATACATCACGCAAACTATATCAAGTCCCTTGTGATGCTATTCCGCCTTTCCCTAATGTGGGGATCATCGTGTTCCATTGTGTCATGTCCCACCTCATTTGAACTTGCTATGACAAAGAGCTAGAGATCAGCGACACTGACTCCTGTATGGGACGGACTCGACGGAGGGATCTGATGCTGCTGCTATCCTTGGTGATGTACAGCTCAATCCAATTAGTCTTCACCCCCGGGCTGTGATGCAGCGCGCGCTCCTGCTCAGTCGAAGCTCCACTGAGCGCTAAGTGTGTGACAGTCCTTATACGCGCTTCTTTTCACTTTAAACATAGGGCATGGCTTCGTGGCGAGAATAATCAACAGTTTCGGGGTTTCCCCGCCCCACCTTCTTTCTGCTTAATTCGCACGAGTTACTTGTGAGATTGTGTCCATACAGAATGAAGAGGAACGACTGCCCTTTCAGCAGGGGTACCACTGATACCTTTATCTCTTGAGCAGATGGAGTGGGAAATAAGTGGCTAATTGACTCCTTTTGGTTGTAGAGGTAAAGGAAGAAGAGGTGAACGGCGGGAAGGTAAGATTTCGTTCCTTTTATCCGCTTTAAAAGAACCGGAGGTCGTTTGGATACGTTGTGCGTAAGATTGCACTGTTTTCATTGGGCACATAAACTCCGCGGACAGGGATGCCAGAACACTAACGTTACAGTTCTGCTGCTCTCAGCGTATCCCAGCAGTTAGTGTTCACTCTCGCAAATAAAGGTTCCTGACAGCAACGGGAAAGGGCTTTGCAGCTTGATGCAATTGGTTTTACATGAACTTGCAGTCTCAGCTCAGGAGGTTTTTATACAGCACAAGTGGTCCTTAATAAGAACCGAAGAACCTTTGTGTGAACGAGTGTTTGTCAGCTGTCCTGAAACAGGTGCACTAGAAAGTAAAGACTCTACCTCCCCGATTAGGGATTAGTCGTCTGCTTGAAAAGCTTGAAAGTTGATAATGGGAAAACGCATGTAGGCTATTAGACTCTACAGAGTAGGCCTATTTAATAATTTACGATAACTAGGCTATCTTTATTTTTAACTGTATAACAAACGTGTCTCGATAGTATTTTTGTTTCTCTCCTGGCCCGCGGATCTTGAGGACAGTTGAGTTGATTTTTCGTGATATCGGTAACATTAGGGCACACCAACTTAACCTTGTGGGGATAAAGCGTAAAGCAGCGGATATATTATGTGGGTGGGTGTTAACGCAATGCAAACTACACAACGGGACATTATAGCCTTGGATACATCGCAGTGCTGCATCATTATGAAATGCTGGCCTATATAGTTTCCTCTCTGTAAGAGAGTTTTAAATAGCCGGCTGTTTCGAAGTCTTTTAAGAGCAGGAAATAGAAGCCCGCTAAATAGTCCTAGCGGGATTTATCATCAAGACATTCTTAAATACTCAATCGCATTAGCGTCTGTCCTAAGAGCCAAAAGTATAGCCTACTTGACATCCAATTGCTATAGCCTACAAGAACGTGGCAATTGTCATTATGTTGAATTTGCATGTTCGAGATGATTTAAAACAACTACAACAACAAAACACACACAAAATGTGTTCTAATTTCTTAGAAAAGTAATTATTGTGTCGATTTTGGTTCAAACTCATATTTAGGAGGAACATTTTATTTCGTAACTCTGGAAATGTCAAAAGGTGTAGGCCTAATAGTCATGTTAAGTGGCATCAATAATTTTTAAGCATGTTTTTAAGATAATGATATACATTTTGGAATATCAAGTTTTCTTAATGTTACTCCAAAACATGCCTGTACATCAAAATATCAGAATATTCAATAAACAAATAAACAAACAAAAATCTTAATGACCTTGACACACAGGTTTTCTTGTCACATGACAACAAGATGGCCTCCTACATGTTGGTAATGCCACAAGAACTTTGATTTGGTGGATGAAACTTTTAAACTTTTAATTGTTGTTTTAGTACTTCAGTACACTCTTTTTATTCACAACACCTAGATGGGTTTTTTTTCCCTTTAAGCCCTGCAATTATTGTCAAACTTCTTATTTAGAAGTTATATCAGAGCAGTATTTAAGTCATTTTACGTATAATCATCTCCATTCTCAAAAGTGTGCTTTTGGAGACTGGTTTTAGCTTGCAAAGTTTATTGGTTTATTATTTTTTGCTGCATAAAATGAGGTCATAATAGTGTTGGAGTTATTTAGTAATGGTCTTAGCTATCATTCATCTATCAATGATTATACATATATTTTTAATATCATATTATTTATAATATATTTTATTTATAAATTGTCCACTATTACTTTGCCTATTCATCTTCCTGTGAAATATAAATTAGTTCCATGATAAGTCTCCCTGAAGTGTCTTTTATTTTCAGGTGCAACCATGGAGGGCCTTGTCTGAGGTGGATTCATCATAGTACTCATAATTGACGTCCGAATTAGCATAACATTTGTGTAGCAGCAGTCATGGCTGATAGGGCAAACTTTGGGGCTCAGAGGGTCTCACGGCCACAAGGCTCACTCCCGCCAGAACCCATCGACATTATCCGGACGAAAGCCAGATCCAGAAGAGTCCGGATCAATGTGGGTGGGCTTGTCCACGAGGTGCTATGGAGAACCCTGGACCGACTGCCGCGAACACGTCTTGGGAAACTCAGAGATTGCAACACCCATGAAACCTTAATGGAGATCTGCGATGACTACAGTCTAAATGACAACGAGTATTTCTTTGACAGGCACCCCGGTGCCTTTTCCTCCATTTTAAACTTTTACCGGACTGGCAAGCTACACATGATGGAAGAGATGTGCGCTCTGTCTTTTGGCCAGGAGCTTGACTACTGGGGCATCGATGAGATCTATCTGGAGTCGTGCTGCCAGGCGCGGTACCATCAGAAGAAGGAGCAGATGAATGAAGAGCTAAGAAGAGAGGCTGAAACTCTCAGGGAGAAGGATGGAGATCAGGTGGAAACCGGCTGCTGCCCAGACAAAAGGCAGAAGCTCTGGGATTTGCTGGAGAAACCGAGCTCTTCTGTGGCGGCCAAGGTAGGGCAAGCACACGGCCCACACACGCACAATACCAAATGTCAGAGTATAGCCACATAAATTGATCACATTCTGACATTTCTTTAACAAACTAACACTTAAAAAAACACGGAAGAATGATAATCCAAATATTCAATTTGAAATGAATTATTAACTTGCCTTACAATGACTAGGGGCAATTCAAGGGTAAAGTTTGGGCTTCAGAGCTCTGAGACTGATGCTAGCAGTGATATGATGAAATATGAAACCCAAAGATGAATTTATAAATACACACATCCCATATGCATTTCCTGGCTGTCATGATTGACATATTAGCCCAGGCTTTTATGCCACAAAAGTATAGAGGCATATTTTTTGTGGTATATAGCTTGCTAGAGGGAAGATTTCTGGTACGGCATGTCAGTATGTGAAACTTTTTTGGCAACATTTTCTGTCCGAGATTGTTGTTGTTGCTGATGTGGGGAGATGCTGCATGGATGAGTGATATGCGCACATCTTAAACAAGAATGATTACGAATGAATCATTAAAACAATAAGTCTTGAATATAATTTCAAAAACATTTTGACTAATCATATTTTCTTACGCATTAGTAGATTGTCTCCATAGAAGGTTGCTGAGAGTATTGAAAGGCTTTGTCTCCACTCACTGCCCAGTCCCAATACGCAGATTGTCTACTTCCCAGAATTCAGACAGGGAAAGCAGTCAGAGGAGCCATTAGTGAAATGCTTTAATGTACAGGATTTTTTCCTTAGGCTCTTAAGAAAAGTGTCTTTCCAATGGGTGAATAAAAAAAGCATTTTAAATAAATTAAAAAAGTTAATAGATCTAATTAAACTCACCTGAAAAAATGGGGGAGTGAGGAGAGAAAGGACAAATGGTAATCCCTATAAACGTTCCCACTATAGCCGGCTCAGTAAACTCTGAGTTTCTATTTAAACTGCATCCATGTGTTTGCTTGGGCATATTTGTCAACAACTGTTAGCTGACCAGAAAGGAAAAGCTACATCATCTCGCTCTGATTCATTGTATTTGACAGATTTACTGTAGCATTAGATGCGGGATCGGGACTGGGCAGGTGGAGTTGCACGTTCTGCTCTTAGAGAGGAAGATGAAGGTTGAGTCACTGCCACAATGATTTGTAGCCAGTCAATCTTTTGAGTGAGTCAACATATATATTTAGCCTACACCAATCGTCTATAATGTCTGCTCTGACAGGCAAAAAGCAGCTTTGTATTGACCAAAATCACCTTCAGCCTAGTTCAGTTTATCATATCACTGCTGTGATCACTGCAAGATGGGATGGCAGACTTGTGCTCACAATGTATAGCAGTATATTCAAGTCTGGGTTTCTGCATGCCTGGATCTGGGGAAAACAGAGGGAACCCCTTTACATTACAGGGGTCCAGTAATAATTAATTGCATGTTAGCTACAAGATTAATCAACGTTAATCGACCTTCACTTCTGTGGCTTCAGTGGTTTGGTTACTGGACACTGGATTTTGAGCATGATGACTGTGTTACTGAGGAGGTATTTACCAATAGCATATTGCAGGCAGAATATCGCCAATAATACTTTGTAATTACCAATAATAATCTGTTACTTTGTTGCCATGTCAGTTTCAGTACATTCCAGATATTTCATATCTGAAAATATATATTTTTGCTTTATGGGTTGGAATGCAGCAGGAATTCTCAGCTGTAACATGCTTTGCAAAGCCTATGGCAAATAAGCTGTTAGCCTACATTTTATTGTTATTTTTATCATACTATACAAAAGATAATATATTTGCAAGTGGACAGTTTCTAAGTGGTAAAGAGAAAGCTAACAGTATAGTTCAGTGGTCAGCACACTGCTGTCTGCGAGGCAATGGAGACTTAATCTCCTTTGGTGATTTACCTAGTCTGCTCCTACAAATAGACTGCTGGCATTCTGTCTGGCTTATGGCTACAGTGTGTAATGTGGTCACGTGTTTAGCAGTTAATCAATTAGTGAAGCCAGTTTTCCACCCTGCGGACGTTATTAGGAGCATTAGCACTTTTCCACATTGTTTCCGCTGTTTCTGAATGCCAAGGCGAACATCGTGAATGGCCTGGCGTGAGCTTAGAATTATAAGGTTCTATCTCCGTTTAGGGCAGTTCTGAGATATTGAGCATCAAAGTTTTTACATCCCAGCTGGCAAAACTGTTATGTAGTATAATCTTCTATTATAGCTTTATTTATTAATCTGCAAAAATAACACCACACAGGCATTAATAAACACCTAATGGATCAGATTATGTCAAAAACTCAATTTCGACCAAAAGTGGAGATAGAACCTTATAATTCTAAGCTCACGCTGGGAAGATGAACTTTATCCATTTAAACCAAGATTTTCTTGTCTTAGAGCAAAAATGTTGTGACATCCATGATGTCCTGGATGAGGAGTGAGGTATCTGGTGTACCCGGGATTTTCCATCTTGTTTCCCCTTGATTCTCTTCTTATATCAGATGACTTGTGTGTCCTCTCAAAAGAGCATTGTATGGTAAGGCTGAGCTAATTTAAACAGCTCTGTCACACCTTGATTTGTGTTGCATGTATAAACACCCTGAGCTTTTAGTTAGCAACGCAAAGAAACATAAAAAAATCAGTAAAACAATACATATTTCAGGAGGTTGAATTTGTCTTTCTTTCATATTTTCACACTCACACACAGCAATATATACTGTATATTGCAGATATATTTCGAATGCAATACAAAATCTTGAATATATTTTTTTTAGATTTTATTGCATTTTTTTGAATGTCAAATAACTGCAGGATTCATACTTGACAACGAGAGACATCTAATCAGATATCATAATCTGTAAAGAGGTGTTCACTGCAGATTGTTTTGATGAGATCACTGTTCCTCTGAAATGTCGGTGGTGTGAATAATTTATGTGTATTTACTCTAATTGATCATGACATGATACTCTATGCTCTCAGCTCTATGGACAGAGCAGAAATTCTCTGCACAAAGCCCAGGGATGAGAAAGGGGTTGGATTAGGGGGAGAGAGGGAAAAAGAAAGAAGAGCTCTTTGTCAGTGGAGGTTCTGTTACTAAATAAAGAGGTTTGGGTTTTGGCTGGGACTCTGGGTGCAAGGAGATACCTGGTGAATTCCCCTCTCAGGCATTACTTCAAGAGCCATGGAGGTCAACCAGCCCAGCCCAATGCCATATTTTGACATTGTGTATACATCCGGCGCACATGGCACCCTTTAGCGTCAATATGAGACGCAGATATATATATGGGCCAGAAGGCGCCTCCTACACTACATCAGACCTTAACCTACCTATAACCGAAGCGTATTGTATTGACGCTAAAGGGTGGTGCCAAAGCGTCACCTATATGATGCCCTAGTAGGATGAGAATATGTTGGGTCAATAGACAAAGTGAATGTGAAGATGAGTAAAGGTTCCATCCAGTGCTTTTTTAACTTCAGCGAGATTGCATTAATCATTTTAAAACAATTCACGCCTTGTCCACTTAGGTAAAGATGTTATTTCTCAATGTCTATTTTACAGTGAGGTTGGTAAATTGATCCCGTCTTAAAATTATAATGGACAGAGCAGAGCTATGTTTATGAGAATAATGTGCTGTAAGGTGACAGCTGGTTGTTTAATGTGGCATTTATACTTTCAACTTAATTGAATTATATTTCAAACATGAGTAAATGGTGTTGAAACGAATTGAACTGACTTTCAAAACAATGGTGCATTTCATGTTAAAAGAGACCATTAAAAGTGCAAGGTTGTTCCGAATGTACTGTCTGTTTATCACTGTGCACAGATTTAGAAAATTAAATAAATAAATAAATGAATCAAGACAGAAATAGCAAAGCGTTTTTCCGGTTCAGTTATCAAATCCATGTGAGAGTTCAGACGTAGGTTAAAACTATGAAATTCAAAGTTGATATATCCTCAGATGAGAATAGACATTGAAAGTAATTGTCATGTTATGTAATCCAGTGCTTTCAAAAAGGAAGTGCTGAGATTGTGACCCAGAGGGAGCGAACTGTACAGTACATAGGCCCAATGTGGGCGTTGAACCTTGGAACAAGTCCTTTCGCTTAGCCTCTCTGCCGACTCAGAGGAGTTTCCATCCCCCATAATGTCAAACAATTATGTAGTTAAGCCTGGGAAACCTAAAGGGATTTACCTTTAATCTGAGTAATGAACAAACAAAATAGCTACAGTTTCACCTTTCATTCCACTCTGATGGATAAAATCCTACTTAGTGGATGTGGAAGTTATATACAAGATCTGATCCTGTAATTGAAGCCTCATTGAGGGTTAAAGCCAATTATTAATGTACTATGACCTACAATCAATAAGCATTGAGTCCATTAGTAGTGTGTCTAGTATTCTTTTAGCGTGTATGACCTTGTCACATTTTCATATTAGGATATTTCATAACCTGCAGGTTAAATTTACAAAAAAAGTAATTAATTCACATTATTAAGGCTTTTCCGTAATTCCTTTAATCCTAAAAGACACTGCATACTGAGGGATGTTCAAAGGCAGATACAATTATGAACAAGGCAAAAAGTGTAGCTTTGTGCTACACACTGATTGGAAAACTTTTTTAGACTCTTATCTGATGTGGTGAAACAAAACTCCTTCTGTGGTGTTTGGCAACATGTGAAGCCAAAGTCAGAGTCAAAAGCTAAATGAGTTAAGACTATGTGAGTTAAATAATGGCACAAATACCAGTAAATAGCTAGTAAATCACATTCCATGATTTATTTAAATACTCTCCTTGCATAAATTTGCATCTGAAATTTAAACTACAAAGCCACAAAAAATAACTGTGCCCATGCCTTTTCACTGCTCATTTTTCACCGTGTCTCCTGACAGTATAGCTTGTGCTGGCTCAAGCTGTTTGTTAATCTGGCCCTTTAAGTCAAAAGTGAAGTTATTCAAATACTGAACGTTATTACAAATATCTGATAAAAAAAAATACAGTGATAAATGTCAT